GAAACCTTATGTCTGGAAATCTAAGAATAAGTGGGAAAAAGACCTACATATTGAAATTACTGAGCAAGACATGATAACTGCGTTAGTTAAGGTAAATAAATCGGTACATTGTTTGAATATAGTAGAGAATTTTTATAAACTCATCAATAGGTGGTATTTGGTCCCAGAAAAACTGGCAAAAATTTATAAAGATCAGAATCAAGCCTGTTGGAGATGTAACGATGGGAAAGGAGATTATCTCCATATATGGTGGCAATGTAAATTCTTAAATAATACATGGAAGAATATCTATCAACAAATTTATAATACCCGTCAGATATATATACCTTATACATCACAGAGTTTTTTGTTACATCAGGGTTGGCCTCTTATGCCTAACGAAAAAAGTATGTTAATAATTCACATTTTAATGGCAGCTAAAACAGTCCTAGCTAGGCACTGGAAAAGCAATAAAGCCATAGAGTGGGCCGAAATTAAAAAAACAAATAATATATCAATGTAAAATGGAAACTGGAATAATTCAAGGAAACTCTGTGGGTCTGAGTAAAACTAGTGGGTAGGAAAATATAGTGGACAGGTTTCTGGTTTGTAATGAAGGCTTATAATAAAGTAGCTCTGAGCTGCCCCCGCAGTGAGTGTCTGACTCCGGAGAGAAACTAGCGATATAAACATGTATTTGAAAGTAATAGGCACAAATGGTCAACATAATGCTGGTTCCTCGGGAGCGTATGTGTTTATAGTGTGAATGTAGTGTGGCGATACCTCAATTTTCTTATGTATGGAATATATAGACAATGTAACCCTAAAGTGGTTCATTCCAGATATGGATTACTAGCTGCAGGTATTTAAAAGGTATATAAACTATTGTGCACGTAAAATGTTTTCTTTTTATAGATATCTGTTTTTAACAGAATATATTTATGTGAACATCTGTAATGCTTATTGAGGTATTGTATGTAACGTCTGTATTTTACTATGTTAAAATAACAAAAAAAAATTTTGAAAAAAAAAAAAAAAAAGTAAAGAGAGAAGTGAAGGAGAAAGTCATCTGATAAAGCCATGGGTCCAATAGTGATATTGTTTATGAAGGCCAGATGCTCTATAGACCAATTCTTCCACAAGAAATTTAATTATGGATATCCCGGTCCCAGGAGACCACCTAGCACTACACCTCGAACCTAGCGCTGCTGAGTGTGGAGACGAAGTGGGGCTCCCAAGATGACTGCGAATGCCACTGGAGACTCAGCCGATGCCTTTGCTGCAACATTCCTGGCTAAGCTAGACCTTCTCTTTGCAAGATTTATGGCTGCAATGGAGGAAAGGCAAGGGCATACCACTATTGGCGAACGGACATCTGTACTGGCTTGCCCCGAAGCCCCAGAGCAACCTAACTGCTTATAACATGCTGTCGCATTCTCAAGACCTCGACGCAGCTTATCTGATCTATGAGGCCTTCTTCACACTCTAGAGGCCTGATCAGGTAGGCTTCATCCCTACATGCCAAGCTTGTGACAATACCAGGTGCACACTTGACCTAATATGGGTGGGCCAACACAGAAAGATACCAACATTCCTTCTCTCCATGGATGCCGAAAAGGCATTTGATCGCCTGCTCTGACCTTTTCTCTTCACTGTCCTGTGAAAATTCAGCTTTCCAGAACCCTTTATTACTGCTCTACAAACTCTTTATGATCACCCAACAGTCACCCTTCTCATACCCAACACAAAAGCACCAGAATTCACCATCCGAAACTGGACACACCAGGGATGCCCACTGTCTCCCCTTCTATTTGTCTAGGGGAGACAGGGCTGCCCACTGTCTCCCCTTCTATTTGGAACCCCTACTCCAGAGCATTCAAACCACCCCAACAATCAAATGATTCAAAGTCAGGAATGATGAATATAAAAAACGTGTCTTGTGCTGAAGATATTCTTCTAACTATCACAAATCCATGCCACTCCCTACACCCTCTGTTAGAGCTCTTAGAAGAGTACACCACCCTCTCAGGATACAAACTAAATCTAGACAAAACTGAACCCTCCCAATAGGCATCCCACAACAGCTCCTAAATCACCTCTACCAAACAAAATACAACACACAGAGTATCCAATATCTTGGAATGTATCCCCCGACCGACCTCATCAACACATATAACCTAAACTACACAACACTACTCCAGCAAGCACAAGTGGACCTACAGAGATGGCACCCAATGTCCATATCCTGGATGTGTAGAATAGCCACTGTAAAGATGAATCTCATCCCCAGGTTTTAAACTGTTCCAGACGAAAGTAGATAACTTTATCTGGGCGGGTAAACGTCCGAGAATTAAAAGGTCCACTATGTACATAACCACTAGAGCAGGGGGTTTAGGTTTTCCGAATTTTTACCACTGCTTCCAAGCTGCCCAGTTGGCACAAATCCAGAACCTCCATGCACAAGCGATGACACGAAACTATGGGTAGACTTGGAACGTGATCTCCTGGGCAGAGACCTCCCCTCACTCCCACTCTGGCTCCCTAAAAAGGACAGGCCACACACCCCTTTAACAACAGCAGCCCTAAGTACATCCTTCCAAACATGGGACTGAATAATCTCAATATACCCTCTAGTAAATGTACCATCACCACTCCCACTAGTCCTGAGAAACAAACAATTCCTCCTAGGCATGACACCCCCAAAACTTGCGCATTTTGACGATAATGGGCTGCTAGCCTGCTACGACTCCTCCACTTCTTCCATAACCAGCAACTCTTACCATTCACAGATCTACCAAGAAAAGTACCACTTACCACTTTTGACCACTTCCGTTACCAACAATTGCGCAGTTTCCTAAACGAACCAAGCATTACGGCTACGGCTAACACCACGTTCACACACTTTGAAAAGACCTGTCTACACGCCCCTGTTTACAAAGGACAGATTTCATCGAAATAGTCCTTCCTGAACTCAACCCGCCCCCCCCCCCCGGAAGACGCTGCTCTTAAACAGCGACTTGGGAAAGTGACATAGGCCCACCAGATGGCCCCACGTCGGGGATGCCACATCATCGCTCACTATATGCATAAACCACAAGGAACAAGCATATAAAATGATGCTCAGATGGTACCTCACGCCACTCAGATTGAAGCAAATGGGGTGTTCAGACACAGACATCTGCTGGAAAGGTTGCGGAACCAAGGGCACGTATATCCATCTGTGGTTGGAATGCCGTTCGATTTCCCAGCTTTGGGTCAGCGTCTCTGACATCACCTCAAGGATCCTCCATACAGACCTACCCATGGACCCTTGGATCTGGTTACTCTCCAAACCCCATGCCTCTCTCACCAGAGCACAGAACAAACTGGTGGCAAAGATAGCACCTGCCACCAGTCACACGATTGCTGAACAATGGGGTAACAACAACAAACCTTCCCTCGCAGTAGTAGTCTGTAAAACTGATGAGACAATATAAATGGATAAGCTATCAGCCATACTTCACAAATCAACTTAACATTTCTACAAAATCTGGAACCACTGGATCCTCGAGCACTAAAGTGGCATGGGGGGGAGGGGCGTATGGCCACCCCTACGGGTGGGGACTCCCACCACTTCTCCCCCCATAATCCCCCATCCCCTCTTCTCTTGTCCTTCCTGCACTCACTACAATCTTATTAACCCCCTCTCCTCCCTCCTTCATACCCATCCTCTCCCCCACATGGCGAATGCCGTAGCATAACCCAACGCTACACAACACACACAGGAATTCTGCCAAACAAAGGCAACAACTGTATATATATATATATATATATATATATATATATATACATCTACTAGATATCAGACTAGATATCAGACTCTTCCTGACACATGATTGATGAAACGCGTAGAGTCCTATGAAGAACCCTGTTATAACTAGTCTTTTTAACATGTGCACTCTGCACATGTGAATTATGTGTTTATGATTGTGTGCTGTGAAGGAATAGTGAGTGTTAGCTGCAAATTACAGTGGCTTGTAGAGCACCTTGCACTTCCCCTTACTTCAGAATCTTTTGCACTTTAGCACATGCAATTTATTATTACATCTTGTGTCATGTTATATTAAGCTGCTATCATTCAGGGTCTTTTTCCCTATTTTGGCTTATTTATTGCAACATTTGCACATGTTTTTTGCTATTGCCTAATTTGTTTACTTAATCAATAAATTGTATGTTTTCTTTTTATTGATTGTTTCTTTTCTCTCTATTTTTGTGTGAGAATTGACAACTGAAGTGCTTGTGGTGCCCTGTTAACTGATATTGATTTGATCTTTTCAGTTGTTTTTTATGAACAAGAGGACAACAGCAATGGAAACGGAACGTTGAACCGTACAATGCTGACAACTATGTGAGTTGTGATGTCATAGACCCTAATTACCCCTCCATCTATCTGCAACTTCTATTTTATTTACTCCTTAATGTCAAGGGACTCACTGTAGCCACGTTGGCTTGTAGGGGCACCCAGTGTATCTATATGTATACAACCTCAATTATACCCTCGACGAGCACTACTGTTTGTACTGTCTGCACCTGTTATGTTATGTTATGAGCTGTAGTCGCAAATGATAGGCTGTGCATGTTGGATACCACTATGACTGTATTCTACCTGATATGTACCCATTCCTCTTTTTTTTCTTCTGTAATCCCTGATTCCAGTAAAAAATTACCCAAAAACTATAAATAAAGAATTTATTTAAAAAAAAATTGTGCAGAATTATCGCATGCCATGTACAGATTTAACATTTTGTGTTACCACGTTTGTCGCTGCTGTCATGGCACTACAAGTTTAAATGTATCCCACTACAGGCACAATAAAAATAAAGAATTAAAAATGTAAATATATATATATGTATAACAGTTTTTATGAAAAGGTAACAAACAGCTCTTTCACTGAATGTGCAAGAAAGCAGAATAAACAAAGAAAAGCACAAATAATATAAAAACTTTATTCTCTCATTGACAAATTGTAGAAATATTTTGGGGTTACTTTAAAGCAGATCTGCATACAAAATAAAAAACCTCTACAAATGGAATGCATATGGCAGTCAAAGTTCTCATTTTTCACAGTTTTTTGTCATTTTGTAATGAACATGTTTTTAATAAATATGTGGACACAGAATATGAGAAAATCAGTGCCTAAACTCTTAATGAGCAGTTTAAAAGTTATTGAAAATAAAAAAAATATTTTAAAAAGTTTTATTAGTGACCCGAATGCGATGATGACTGCGTGAAATATTATTTGTCCTTAAGTTTCCATACATAAGCTCTATACCAATTTGTTTATGCAGGGATTATTTTACTTGTTCCATACTAAATAATGCAATTGTCATAATAAATATCACACAGATAATATTAATTTGATTCTGTCACAGTTTTTTTTTTACTATGCTAATGTTTTAATTGTGGGTATATCTACTAAATAGTAATTTATCTCATTTGTATTTTGTATTTTGTCAGTGGAGTGTCCCTTTAAGAACTGTAAGTGGAACACCTCTATATGATATTAATAAATACAAAAATTTGCTACATAATAAATGCTACAAAAGAGATGCCCTGCAGCGACCTAGTTCCAGTGGTATATGTGAGTCAGCCTATAAATAGTTTCGATAAGGAGACTCTGTATTGTTCAAGTGGAATAGGAAAGTGAGAAAATAAAAAGTAGGATGTTCCCAGCATTCCCTGAATCCCAGGATGTCCCATGCATCAGTCAGAATATGCAGTGGGTACACCTACAAACAAAAACAATAATATATACACAAAATGTCACATAAGAATTCTCTGAAATGCACAAGGCAAAGTATTCAATTTTTAAATATATATATATATATATATATATATATCATTTTTTATTTTATTTTTTTTGTCATTTTGTAATTAACCTGCTTTTTTTTATATATTTCTTTTTTTTTTTTTTTTAAGTGTTGCCACAGGAAATAAACGCATCAGTGCATAAACTTCTAATTTGCAGTTCGAAAGTTAATGAAGATTAAAAAAAAAAAAATGATTAAAAAAAGTTTTACTTCACAAATATATCTATATAAATAGGAGCAAATGTGATTTTCCATGTATGTAGAGTGTAAAATGGCTCACATGGTGTTATACTGTTAATTGTATTGTTGTTAAATTGCAATGCCATGTGAAATCGGTAGGTTCCATTATTCCCAAAATAATACATTCCTGAATTCCTGACTATAATTACCATGCATATGTTAGGAGAAAAATGCAATAATATTTTTTTATCAATGAACTGAGATAAAGAACTTACTTAAGGTTCGAATGGAAAACTTGCTCCTCTTTTCCATCAAAAAAACTAGGTTAGCACTCCTTTAAAAGACTTCAAACAATATACTTTTAACAAATTTTGGGAAGTAATTTTGCATAGGAAGAATCCTGCTCAGGAAGTAGTATTAGAGGAAGTGCATAGGAAGAATACTTCTCACAGACACATCAATAATAAAACTAGAATGTAAATATCTTATACATGAATATGTGTGACTGTTGCTAAGAAGTCAGTAACCATATTAAAAAGCCGGTAACCATATTAAAATGTATAGCCCAAAATAGCCATGTTAGAAATCGTTGTCTAACTTGACTATGTAAATCTAAACTCTGCCATGACAGTCATGTCAACTCACTCTTCAGTGAACAGGCCATTCAGTTGTCATTCAAACAGGATTGTGCTGATCATTTTACTAATTGTAGTGCTTCTTTATTAGTGAGCCCATCATAGCAGAGTGCTGGAATGTCGCCAATATTTTTAACTTCCTAATATAGATTTTTCATCCAGTCTAACAGTATATCCAGCTCACCAAGTGCCTTTATCACGGCACCATTGGGATTCAACTGCAAAAAAAAAAAAAAAAAACAGTAAGAGAATATCCATTATGAAAAACAATAATTTACTGTCAATCATTTTAAATATGTATACTTGTTTTAGTGTCAAAACATTATCAAGGTTATAAAAGAACTGCTGGGAATTGAAAGTAAATATGAAATCCAAAATTTAGGCCAAAGTAGCCCAATTAGAACAATTCTCAATTCTGTTTTAATTTTGACTATTTTGCCCATAAATTTGAGATTCACTTTGAATTCCCAGCAGTTCTTATTTTAGTGAATAATCCTTTGTGTGTTGATCGTACTTTATATTTTAAAAGGTTTCAAACTAAATGTAAAACATAAAATTATAGTACAATAGCCAGGCATTTATTTATTACGTTAAAAAAATAACATTAATAAAATATATATTATCAAATAAAAGAGCCAACAGTGCAGGATGTAACATCATGAGAATGATATGTTTTCATTTTTAAATAAAATACTTGCATTAACTAAATTCAAGCATTGAGTAGCATTTGACAAATTTGAATAATGTAAGTATAAAATTATTTTAACTTTTAGGTAAAGGTTCAGCAAGGGATTTTTCTGCATCTAAATGTATTTAGTGGTATGAATGAAGGGTAAATGGACTTAATGATGTTTTTTTTGTTTTGTTTTTTTGTGAAGAGGATTGGGCAGACTGATACTGCACATTTTCAGAAGTAAATTTAAAGAGGATCTGTCAATTTCTTTTTTTTTATGTTAGCCGGTCCCAAATCCTCCATAGTTGCCCCTCTCATTCTCTTCTGAACTATGCTTTATTTTAAAGTTATACATATCGAATAGTAGTGACTATTTTTCCTTATGTATAGCTCGAAGCTTGACAAACGTTGACATAGGGCGGAACTTTAGTCAAACTCTACTTTCTCTGTCAACTTTATCATTATCTCTGGATCCAATTACTTACCCCCCTCCAGCATTGTCATGTCCTGTTTTCAGACACCAATTTAGTCCATTATGTCACTAATAATGTCTTCAGTGAACTAGACATGCGTGTGATTTGATGCACATGCCCATCAATTCGCAGAGAATAATATTTCTGGGGGCTGTGATCCTAGAAAATGAAAGATGGTGGTGCCTAGAGAGACCCGAAGGGATCAGAATCCCATAAATAACAGTAAGTAAAGCTGGTCCCGGACACAGATACACGGATCTCTTGTCTTTTAACTGAGGGATCTATGTGATGACACATGTGCTTTAAGCCCTGTTTGGGTAAAGAGATTGCTCCTTCTGTCATACTTTGACAAGTTAAAAGAGGAATCCCTGGAATATAATTATTTTATGGGTCAGGACAAAATTTGGATCTCATAGGAAGTATGTATAATAAAACTCACACCTTTGGCCATGCGTTAAAATAATAGAAGTGGTGCTTCCATTGCCCTCCTGGTTACTTAAAGTTCTTGCTGACCAAAGCAAATTATAAAAAAAAGGTCAAATTAGGGGCACACCCGCAACATGCATTTCTCAACAGTGGTGTGCTGCCTTAGAGATAGATAATTTTAAATTGCCTTGTTTAGAACTGTATTTTTGTGTGTGCACTGTTCCTTAATCTCTATTTTGTATACATTTTGGTCTGTATGGAAGCGCTACTACTGAGAAATGCACGTTCTGGGTTTGTCCCCAATTCCCTTTTTTCTAAGTATGTTTAGCGTTCACGACCTTTTGTGTTGAGCACCTCGTCTCACTGCTTCAAAGGCCCCTTTGGCAGGAAAAGTTTGAGGAAGTTTTGGATAGCAATGTCACTTTAATAATAATGTGCATTAGATATAGAACAGATATAGCATATGCATTATGAGTATATACATTAAAGCACTATTACTTTAATTATTTACTTTTGATACTGTATTTTTTTTAATTGTGTTTCATATCACGTTAATTTTGCATTATGTATAGTCATACTGCTCTTGCAACAGATTAATTGAGCACACTTTATTTAATTTAGCACTGTTTACTTTGTCTAACCTGTTAAACTTAGTGTAGGGCCAACCTATATTGGGGTATTGAAGCTTAATGGTGGGCTTAACACGATGTGGTCCTATGGTGGAAATGAATCCCCATATTTGTTTGCTGAGATAGCTGATTTTAAAATGTATAACTGTATACTCTATGTAGCACAATACAACAATTGCATTAAAAAATATCTTAATTGGTATTTTGACTTACATTTCTATTTAAATTTCTATTTTATAAAACGCATCTCACCTTCTTAAAATTATTTTCAATGCTTTGCAATTTATCCAATGTTTTGTCTCCACAGTTGCATATTTGTTTAGAGTGCTATAGAAATGATAAGAAAATAATAATATAAATACATTGATAGCGAGAGTACAATCTTTAATGTTGTATTCATTCAGGTGGTGTTCCAACAAAACCACAAATGTATGGAATAATGTATGGAATAATAAGTCAAGAAAATCTTTGTTGAGAGACTTTTTTTTCTCTAGTATAATGTTTTTTGTCATGTAAACTAAATTTTTTATTTTTCTAATAAAATTCAGTAAACATGCACATAACTTATAATTCACTGCATACTTATCACAAACATTGCATAATAAGGAAATGGATAAATAAACTTAATTACATTTTTTATTGGGGAATTATTTTAAAAAATATGGTCAAAATAACTGAGCTGGAACAAGTTTTCAACGATTTTCAGTAAATTTAGTGCACAAATCATTTTTTTCTTGAAGTGTGCATTTAATATCCTGTAATATTGCCACATAGTGGTGCTCTTGTACTAGAAAATTGTCATGTTTCAGAACAGTAGTTGAGGATATAGTATATTACATGATATTTGTACATCAAAATTGATAGGTAAGAGTTGGATATAGAATGGGCAAATTCCATTGATTAATTTTTGTCCACCAATCATTTTTGTTCATTTTGTTTGTTAATTCGTTTGTGATTCGTACAAATTAACAAATTACCTGAAATTCAGATGAATTTGCATTCGTCCAAAAACAAATGCCCAAGTCGATCAATTACATACATCTGTGTATTTAACTTACATTTTACAGATCATACTTATTTTAACTTTTTCATATTTAATGTGTATCTTTTTTTTTTACTAGATTTATATTTCAAAAAAATATTTAGAAAAACTCTCAGGGTTACATAATTACATAAATTAAATAGGCTGAATAGAGACATGCATCCAGCATGTTCAGCCATTCTCACCACTGTTTTTGCTGTTGGAATTGAAAATAAATTTCAAATTTAAGGCCAAAATAGCTAAACTGGAATAATTCTCCAAGTCACCCATGCTTCCAGTTTGTCTATTTTGGCCTTATTTTTCAAATTAATTTTTAATTTTCTTTCAATTCTAGACAATTCCCTCTTTTAGTA